CTAGTAGTAACATGAAGCTACTAGGAACAAGTGCATCGCTACTAGTATTTCTTTTGGACGTTTTTGAACTTGCTATCGGACCGTCTCAGGCCCAGAGGAGTCAACCCAGCTCCCTGGCAAGACCACAGTTTTCGCACTCAGTTTCCTTCTCGTCGTGTTTGGCTGGAACAAGTTCGTTTTGTTTTGTCTCCATCAGTGAAAGGCTCAGTCCTTGAAGTCACAGGATCAAAGCACAAACTAGCTCTCAGCTCATCCAACTCGCTGACACCCGATCGTTGGTTTCAAACTCATTGAACTCGCGTCGTAGTCCACCCATTTTGGCGGACCGAGGTCCAATCTCCGTCATGCGACCGCGGCCACCACCGCGGGTTTCGGGACTCAGAGCCGAGGGTCTCGCGGCTTCATCCAAGTGAGCGACGAGTGTTTCACGGATTCGACCCAGGTGCGTTGATCGGGTTAGCATTGTTTGGATCTCAGCCGGGTGACCAGATGGGGCGGGGCAGCCCAAGACCTAGCATCTTCAGGTCCAGTGCTTCCAGATCTTCGTCGTCCAAGGACAGATCAGATCGAGAGCTGAAGCGCAAGATTGGTCTCATAGTAGAGATTGAAGGCAAAAACCTATCCTGCACCTTAGAACAGCCCAGACAACAAACAATTCTCCACCAGATATAGATGACAAACTAGGGGTTTAGTCAGATGTTTTCTGCATATGCTACCATCTATGAATCTCTTTCTTCCGCCTTTCTTCCATCGACAGGTACAGCTCGCAGCGACAGGTCGCCGCAGGCGGAACTCGCCCCGGGGGCCGGTGGATCCATTGGAACATTTGAGACTTGGCGGCAGATCGCGAAATCACGTCTCAAAAGACTTAGATAACTGAAAATGGAGACTTGGAACACTCTTTGGTCTAAAAAGTGAGGGACCTGAATGCATCTTGGTGGTTTCCTTTTCCTGAGAGTGTGAACTCAACAAACAAAGATGCTAGAGCTTTTAGTCGCAGCTTGGGAATTTTCCCTGGAATGACATAGGTCCGGTGACCAAGTGTGTAGATCTGAGACAAACCAGACGTGAAGTTTTTTCTTCTCTTTTCTGCCCTATACAGAAGAAGGAGAAGAAGAAGAAAAGCTCCCCCTTTGTCTCCAGCAGAAACCAAAAGCAACGCCGTAACGTCTGGTTTCACGCTTTTCACGTGTTCAGCTTCCCCAGGACGCCCCGGGCGGAAGACTTGGAGCCTGGTGAACGGTTGTTCCGGCAAGTCTATCGGAAGAAGCCTCAGCTGGGGAATATGCAAGATACATGGAAGACTTGTTTTTGGAGCGCTTTCGCACGTTCCTTCATTTCCTTCCCCCCCCCTTTCGATCTCATAGTATTCCTAAGAAAGCTGCAACTTCAGCATCCCAGGCCTAGCATGCGGAAAGCAGACATGCCAGAGGAAGACGGGGAGGAACAGGGATACGAGGAGCAGTTCAAGTGCTTCTTTACCGTTATTGCTAGAGTGCTACAGAGTATGCTAGTCCTTCTTTGTGACTTAGTATCCAAGTTTGCACCAGAAGTGCACAGACCCTGTGGAGGAAGAAGAGCTGATACTACCGAAGAAGCGCAGGTGTGGAGTGCCCTGAAGTTCCTCACACCTGCAAAGTCTCAAATAGAATTTAGAAAGAAACAGGCGCCCAGAGTCTAGTTCCAAGGTCCAGATGCATAGATGCTTTGTTGCAGCCGGGCTAAGGGGAAAAGCGGGCTGGCTGGCCGCGAATCAAGAACGAAAGAGCGATCCAGCCTACGGAAAGAAGTGGGTACTGGACAAGCTGCCTTTTCCATGCCAATCATGAGAGGCTCAAGTACAGTTTTGTTGGTTTTTGCTGAGCCTGCTGGATATGTATTGCAGGATCCCAACAAGCGTGGTCCAAAGAAGAAGCGATGGGTGGTCGGAGAGGTCATTGACGAATCTCAGGACTGTCTAGAAGCATCACCCCTACTGCAAGCATTGAAATCCCAGTCTGGAACCCTCAACATTCATGTGTATAGATCACACGTGAAGGTAAATAGATATGGTTGCAATTGTTGCTTCAAGAAGGCAAGGAAGCCTGATGTTTGCTTGTTGAATTACGCCTGCCATCCTCAATTTTTCAACTACTTCTCAGCAGAACACACGATTAAGAAGATTGTGGAAGGACATTGACAGAAACGCGTCCCGATTGCGGACAATGTGCGCAATTGTTTTTTGAGTGACACGGACTGCAACAGTTTCAAGAGGATCTTGAAAAGGTGTTGTCTTTTTACAACATCTTGTTGTACTTGGGAGGTACAAAAGACCGCGCTTCAGCTGGAAGGAAGCCAAGAAGGATATATTGCTTACCTGATGGAACTTGTGCCTCCAAAGACATTAGCTGTTAGCTCAAGAAACATAATTTCAAGACAAGCCTCCAAAGCTCATCCCCTTATGAGAAGTGAGACAGAGGGACAGAGGATTCATCCTTGCAAGCCACCTCACAGGACGACCTCCGAACAGAAACGCTTTCAGGGAAGATGTCCGTCATCGGCAACGATGAGGCTTTAGGGATTACAACTGAGAAGCCAGCTGCAGCGCCAGTAGCTAGTAGAAAGCATCGTGGAAGTTATCTAAGATATGTTGCAGAATCAGGTGTTGATTTGAATCGTGTATATGGGCCCTCAGTCCCAACCACTCCTTGCAGGTTTGCAGGACAAAAACGGGCTAAAGCATCAAGTTTGCAGGATTTGGAGCCATTGGTCCTTTCGCCATGTTCATCAGGTGTGGATCTCCAAGTTCTTGTCGCACTCTGGTGTGTGCTCACGCCGTGATGTGAAAGAGTTGGTTTTGCAAGGTGGGAGTCTGTTCTTTTTGTCGTTTTCCAGCGGCCTGACGGACTGGTGTTTGTGACGCGTCCCGTGGTTTCATGTTGCAGGAAGAGTCACAGTGAATGGTGAAGTGATCAAGGAGTGGACTTTGCACCTGCCGAGCTGCATGATTTGCGTGTGCTTCTGGTGGTAGGACCCAGTCACAAAGGTTGATCCGAAGAAGGAGAACATCGTGCTTTTTGTGCTTTCTTGTTCAGCTATTTAATGGAATCCATGCAATGCAAGGTGACAAGACATGGACAAAGCACAGCCTTTCATTGCTGTTGGTGCACTGTGAAGGATACCATTACCGTGGACGGAAAGGACACCTTGAACCGAAGGGAACACATGCTAGGGGCTGCAGACGACTCTCATAGCTCATCTTGACGAAGATTTCCATGAACTTTTCATGGTTTGGAAGCAAGCTTTGTGTGTGAAGACGTGTTGAGGTGCAGACGAAACGACGTTTTTCTTCAGGAACAACGGCTCCGTACGCTTGATGAGATTATCTGGGTGATGGTGTACAAACCCAAGGTCAGGGTGAATGGGTTGTGCAGACTCAGGACATGTACACTGAACACCAGCGGTTTGTGAAGAAAGATAGTCTTCCAGGCTGTTCCAGAGGACCATATTACTCTTTGGCAATCTCACTAGGAAGTCCGTGCACCACACACTTCCTGCTTAGCAATTTCAGTGGAGCTATGCATGTCATTTTTTCGTGTGACAAGTCTCACCTTCCTCGTTAACTCTCCAGAATTGTTGAGACGAGGTTCATATCAGTTCTAGTCGAAAGTTCCAAGAATGGGTTCTTGAGAAAACCAGAAAGAAGGAAAGAGGAAGGAAACAAAACCACTTGGCCTCATAGGAACGGAACAAGACGTATACAGCATACATAACATATTTTTTTCTGTTAATCTCATTTGTCTTTCCCTTTGAGGTTTGCCTCGTGTCTCTTGCCTTTGTCCATGCGGTGAAATTGGGATGTGGCCTTATCTCCTGTTTTTCTCACACTTCTTTGTGTGACCCCCCCACTCTTTTCACATCACACATCCAGAGCTTTTTCACCGAAAAGGATCCTGAGAGCCATCATCACCGCATCACCCCCAAAAAGGAAGCTTGGTGACTTCCTTTACCCTCACGGTTGCCCGAGGCCTTTGAAGGCACAGACTCCAGCATCGTTTCCACGAAGATGTCTTCCGGGAATCTTCTGGCCCATCATACTTCACCGAGACACAAGGAGCCAACCAAAACAAGACAAAACATGATAAAGCTAACCAAGAACAAGGGCCAGCAACACGGACACACAAACAAACAATCAAACAACCAACCAACCTTATCTTTATAAATTTCCAGTTTTTCATCTCTCTTCTTCCTTTGTTTTCTCATCTTCTCTTCCTCGCTTTGGCTTCACACAAGCTTTCACCCCTTGGGCAGCGCCACAAACTGAAGTAAATGCATGGAACTCAAAGTGCAACCAGGAAGTCCAGTTTTCTTCTCTCCTTTGGTGATTCTGGTCATTTATTGGGGCTACTTGTAGGCTGGATTTGATAGCTGGGCGGGCTTACAGATCGTGGTTCCTCGCTGAGTGGGGCCGCGGTGTGTCGGGAGGGTATTGGTGTTCACCAGGGCATCATGTGCTGAGGGTTGTTTGTGACTTCAGGGTCCTTCAAAGTCCATGAAGATATTCCTGACTCCACGACCCACAGTCACAGGGCATGAAAAGAACAACAACGTCCTGTGGTTGCCAGGACGTGCTGAGCACAATGGAGGCTGCCGAACATGTCGAATAACTTTCGACCGGTGGAGTGGCTGAAAGTCCACTCGAACAGCAATGTGCTGATTTTCGCGCATTTTCTGCCGACTTTTGGCAAAGTGATCAATGCTTTCCTATTGGCAAGGACCCACAAGGCCGCAAGTGCCTTACTGACCTAGTGCCTTTTGCAAAGAACAGGCGGCTGGTGCCAGCTACTCAATTACAGCAAAACTCATTGGCAAAGCACCCTGTCTTTAAAAACACTCTTAACCTAAGGCCAATTGGAAGACTCGAAAGAAATTCAACTGGCTCAAAGCTGAGACTTCCACGAAGAGAATGTCCAATTGCCGCACCCTAACTGTCCAGTCCCAAATGCCAAGGCATCATGTTTTTGACCAATGATTACGAGTGGCACACTGTCCTTGCCCGGTGCTCAGACCGAAAAAGTTGTCCAATCCTCCAATCACGGTCACCTCAAAGACAGCATTTGTTGTTTCTCAACTTGGTGTTTGCTTAAAACGACTTTCACTATACCACTTTCTCAAAGGGTATACTTCCAGTGGAAGACATTGGTCCACCAAGAGATAGGTCCCCTGCTAATAGCACAAGCACTCCTGCCCTGCGCCAGGCGCACCCGCGGTACGAGACGCCAAGGCGGTACCGCGCCAGGGCGCTGGTGAAACGAAAGTGCAGTCGTGCATCGGAAGACAACGTTTGTACAGAGTGCAGAGTGCCAAGAATTGTTAGAAACAGCTTAGGTATGAATATATATATATATTGTACTTTTCTCCACCATTGTCCTCTAAGCTCAATCTTGGTGCTTCATTGACCTTGCTGGGAAAAGTAGAAGCCACAATATGAGCACCGCCCTCTCAGGTCGTGGTTTACAACGGTGCGCCCGACACCCAGCGGCTGCAGGACAGCGCCAGTCTCACCACCGAACGAGATCGTAATCGTTCCGAAACCGCCAGAGTAGTGACATGAATTTCTCCGTGAAGTGATGAAGTATGGTGAACTGGTGCCACCAGCGCCGTTTTGAACTGGTGGTAGTGCGTTCAAATCCAGGCTCTTCAGAAAGGCTTGAGGCTGCCGGATGAAGGGCGGCCTTGTCTTCCTTTGGAAGAGCTGGAGGTGCTGCTCCAGAGCTTCCGCTCTGTTCCCTCATCGGCGATCCAGTGGTAACTTGAGTTACAGTTGAGCATGAAATATGATGTTGTCTTCCTACTAGTAGTAAGGCACTTGTTACTAGTAGCAATACACTTGTTACTAGTAGCTTCTTGCTACTACTGTATTGGCAGTATTGGTTCTGTGGACGATGCTCCCCTTGGACCTTCGCTGTGCTGCCTCGCAGGTCTTGGAACATGATCGGAACACAGGCATTGCAACTCTTAGCTTCATCATGAAAGAAGGAAGGCCTGCGCAGCTGTTGGCAATGTCTGAAGAATTCTGCAAATTCAGCCATCGCAGGTACCGGCAAATCCTGAGGATGTTTGAGTACATTGGGCATCCGATCAGAGTACATCACTTGTCGTCTTATGTCACCTTACAAGTTTTGAAGAGAAACGGCTGCACCAGAAAGCGGGCTTGCAAAAGCATTATTCAGCGATTCAGGCAGTGAAGAGAACACAGCTGCAGCCTTTGCTAGAGCAAGATATGAGAGATTCGCTTGGAAAGAATCTCTGACTTTGCTTGGTAAAGAATCTTGTCTTAGAAAGGGAAACGCAGACTCTCAGGTTTGGGTTGGTCGGCTTGGATAAAGAGCTGAAGGCCATTTTATGAAGGTGCCAACGTCAGAAGTAGCGAAGCAAAGAGATGTTGTTTGTTAGGCTGGGGAATACCGGATGCTTACTCCGAAGGAGATCCGCAGGCATCCGAAGATCAGTTGTTCGATTTGGGAGCAGTGTTTTCATCAATCACCCGAAATCATTTCCACATTGGTGCCTTCGACAGAAGCATGAGTGTGAAAAGCCTCCGAAGGACAAAAACAGTCTGTAACACATGCTGGTCTGACCTTTTTTTGCTGCACCTCGCAGGCTAAAGGGTGCTACCATTCTGAAGAAACCCGGGCGTGGTCCTGTTGAAAGGCTGCAAAACGGATGCATGCTGTGTGTTTCCCGTTGGATCCATTAGGTGCTGGGCCTTATGGGAAGACCGAAGTTCGAACACACCTCCATGTCGCAAAAGTTTGATCAGGGCCCGAAAGATGGAGAAGGTCTTTTCCGGTCTGCGCCCAAAGGTCACCTTGCACCGAGTTCACAGCAGTTACCTCCATGTTTCCTCGACACCCAGGCTCCGACACCGAGTTTGCAGAACTGGAAAGTCCCAGTCGACGCAGGAGGGAAAATCAGCTGGTTGACACAAGAGAGGGATTATGACATGGGCTGCTATGGTGGGTTGCATGGTAGCTTGGCATGCCTCGTGTTTCTTATATTTTTTCGTTCACCGGGGTCCCGCGAAGTTGATCCGTAGCCATACTTGTGGCAAAGAACACCTTTGGGAGCAAGGTATGCACTTATTATATATCCCTATTCAAGTTAAGGTAACTGTTGGTCCATGTCAGACTTGGTCGCAAAGACATGCTCACACAGAAACAGTGAGAAAAGACTAACTTTGGAAGGCGAGGCAGACAAGCTCCTGGCAGACGCATGGAGGCACAAGACAATGCCGGTGCTTGCGCTTGCTTCAAGTCGGCATGTTAGAAAGATATGTATTTAATATCAAGGTTGCTGAGGTCTCCTTCTTTGGAGACAAACTCAATTGGAGTATGAAGGGCAAGGCACTCTCAGGAAGAAGCGTTTGTTAGCAAGCGAACTGTTTGCAAAGGCTCGAGATGGACCTCGTGGACGGCGGAACGAAGACCTGGAGCCGCAAGTGGCATCTTTGGAGGCTGGCGTTCAATCCACTGTGTAGAACAGCGAACGAGTCAAGAAGTCAAGCAGCCAATACAGTCCATTGTTCATTTCGGTTCATGTTGGCCTATCATGCATGACCGATCCTCCGAGTTGCGTTGATTTATTTTGAATTGGATCTACGACAGCTCCACGAAAGCCCGACGGCCATCTCCTTCAGGGCTTGAAGGCTCTCGGATCGAGTTTTGAATCTGCGAAGGGCCTCAGTACTTTCAGACTCCAGACACTGCAACATCTGCAGCTCCAGAAAGACCGACCCGTGGTCAGTCCGTGGTCCTTGAAATCGTTACTTTTCAGGGGCCTGAAATCGCTTTTCTGCCACCTTCGCCGTTGGAGCTTTGATCGAACAAGGACATGGACTCTTTGGAGGAAGACTGGGAGACTGGCTGGGCCTTGACCTTAGCCGTGGAGGCTGTGGAGCTTTGGGTGTTGAAAGCTCGAATCTGCCAGAGTCAGGGAGGGTTCAGAAGCCTTCATTGAATTCTTTGTCCAGAGCTTGGATCAAGTTCAAGATGACGTCGACCTCAAAACTTTCTGTGTTCCTCGAATTGAACCATATTGGAGGCATTTTAAATTGAACCATTTGCCCGTCCCATGTCCCAGATAGGCTTGGAGGTGGTTCAATCCAACTCCAGCTTTTGCCTCATTGTGTTCGAAACAACACCCCAAGCTTGGCCCCTCAAAGCCGCAAAACAACATCGGTCTTGCAGACGCCTTGCTCGACGTTCGGCCATTGCACCGAGCCGAACCAAGATCCAACAGCTGGACGAGATGACGAGCAAGCAGGCGTGACGGACTGATGGCGCCTCCGCATGGCCTCTGCGTGGGCCGAGAAGGACGTTTCACGGATGTTGTTCGAAGCAGTTGAAAGACGAAAAGGTGGCACTTCCACTGTCTTTCGAAGTCTTCCGGAAAAACACACCATGAGCTTGGCAGTGGAGATGCATACTTTTCACAAACATGCGAGTCTACCAGTCCGAAGGAAACATCTTCACATTTGATGACCACTCACACAGCAACACAGCATGCAAAGAACAACTAGTCCAGACACTTGCAAAGAAGCGATACATCCTTCGTGTTGGGGTGGGGGACTTGTAGGTTGTGGGAGCGCCATTGAGCCATGGGAGCCCACTGCTGTGGCTTCCGAAAGGCGCGATTGAAGTTTCAACCCTGCTGGTTGATGTCCTCTTCTTCCTCTATGACTGGTGTTTTCTTGCCGTGTTTTTCTGTGGGAGCGCCAGGGTTTTCCTTGTTTGGGGGAAGTCAAACCATGAATGAAGTGTACTGAAGGCGTTCATAAATTGTAGTGTCCAATGCCTTCCGTACAAGCACAAAAGAAAAGGAACTCAATCGAAGCGTCGCCAATCAAAAGTCCAATCAAGTCGAAGTTCATATGGCTTTGGCTTTGACTTCACTAGAGTCACCAGAGCCTAAAGCGTGTCACACAAGAGAAGTCATCGGAGAAGTCACACAAGTCACACCGCGGTGTCCACTGCGACAGGAGACGGAGGCCAAGGCGATTGGCAGTGAAGTGGAGGCCGAGAATGAACTCCTAGCCGTGACCACTTTACACGGCACATAAAAACCATTTGTGATAATATCAAATACGGTTGACCTGGTGGGGACAGGTGGTTGGCTGCAAACATGATGAGTGAGGAAAACTGGGTGCCCCCACAGCACTGTCTGTCTGCTCCTCTTTGCTGTCACTCGCCCGCCTCTCGCTGAGATGTCTGGTTGAATGTTAAGCCACACAGCAGCCCGGAGTGTCTTCGATCGACAAGGGTGCCTTGCGTATCAGTCAGCGGAATTGGATGTTTTGGGTGTGTTTTGTTGCGACGCGCTTTCCACGAAAGAGTGTCTGCCAAGAATGTCAAATTGCACGAGTGTCTTCCAAGAACGTCCACCAAACAACGGGCGTAATGAGCTTGGCCCACCCCACAAAAAGAGTGGTACCCTGATATTGAAGTTGAGCCGGGAACCCAGTGCAGTTCATTTTAGCGGCACCATGTTGGAGTATTGACGCGCATTCGGGCTAAAGGTAGTCTATTGGTACTATGTCAATAAGAATAGGAAGGCATCTTTCTGTATACAGAATAAGATCAAGACCGATCGGGATTTCTAGTAGCACAGTTTGCTTGTCAGCCTCGTATAATTTATATCCATCTATCTTTACGGAGTATTGCATTTTTTTGCTTGAACAAGAGACACTGAGTATGATTCTTGTTCCATCAGGCCGACGCTTGCTGGAGCAAAGCAGGCGGTGGACATTGATGAAGATCATAAAGTTTTGCACAGAGTCATGAGACGCGACCGGTCTTCTTCCGCCCAACTTCTTGCAGCTTTCTTTCCTCGAATCGGCCCATAAAAGGACTTTTCACTCAGCCGAAGCTTAGAGTGTTCAGGCCCTGGAGCGTGCCAGGGCTCTCCAGCAGGGAGGCAACTGGGCGAGTTTTTTTTGGTCGGGCGGTTCTTGCTGTCCTTGTGACAGCGGTGCAGAACTGTTCTAGTATGGTTAAGACGTGAAGAGAAGTCAGAATGTGACATGAAGTTTCTGCTGAATCTTTACATGTGAAGTAGTGCATGTTTTCGTGTTGCACTTTGCAAAGCATAGCGCGTGGTGACCTCCGCAGGGCATCCAGCTGTTTGGCTCGGTCTCCAGACCCGCTTTCGCCGCACACAAAGCCCTTGCGCTGAGGGCTACCTGCGCGACTTCGCAAAGGACAAAAATAGCTGGCTCTGTGACCCCAGCGAGGGACATAGAGAGAGAGAGAGAGAATATGGCAATCAATGCTCTAGGATTCAAGCAGTCCCACGGAGACATCGAGTTGACCATGGTGTACTCTGGTGAATTCTGGTGATGCAACTTTCACGAGTAGGGGCTCCGCGCGACTATGACACCATGAAGTACGAGTCGACCGGGCGAGGATCGCTGGGAAGTTGGTACCGAAGCCGTAGAGGGATTGAGAGGAGATGCATACACGGTAGCCGAGGACCTTGGCACCAGGGAACTGAAGAAGCCTGATGCAATTTTGGAATTGTTTGAGACCATGCGGAAAGCCGTGTTTCTCATCCGACGAAGCAACGGAGCTATTATACCGGACACGAACAGCCGTCGGAGGTCCTCTTGCTCGACAAGCTGGAGAGTCTATGACCCGCTTCATCAGCAGGCGGAAATGTTGGCGGAAGTTGTTGATGCAGGTTGTTGGCGGAGGATGCAAAGTTTCAGGTGTCTGGGCATTTCGCAAACGCTTTGGCCTGAAGATTGAACCGAGTGGGCAATTGTCATCAATGGGACGCATGCTCCAACGAGCTTGAAGGGAGTGACGCGCCGCTTCTACTGTCACTACCCGCTCAAAGCAAGGTGGGTTTGATCAAGGGCGTCAGGCGTGGCGTTTGCAGCTTGCTCGACTACACAGGTCAGTGTTTGCCACTGGCTCGCAACAGGCACACTGGACTACTTATGTGTTGCGTCAGCCATTTCGTGGAGAATGTCGCGAACATCTCGCTCGACGTGACGCCGGATGTTGGGATCTCTGTTGCACTTCCTGCTGAAGACTGAAGAAGTTCCCATGAGCTGGAAAGACAAACAAATCAGGCTTGTCAACTTCGGGATCGAGAATGTCGGAGTTGCCGACAGGAGCTCAAAACGGTCACGATACTTCCACCAGTTCTAGCAGCAGAAGCTAACACACGGCTCCTAATTCTGCCTTGGCATCGACAGCTGAAGCCTTCAACTTTGACCTCAAGTCCAACTTCAAGGATATGATGACTGGCTACATGGGCAGTGAGGTTGTGGTGCTCGACTGCAGAGAGTCACTACGTAGACATTTGGGCGTGCGCCCCAAGAACCATCATCCAAATGGGAGAAAAGTTCAAGTTCTTCCACGAAATGATTTCTGAGAGGCTTGCGTGACCCAAGGAGCAAGAAACTTTTGGTCATGCCTTTCTGCAAGGACAACACCGGAGTGTTGCCACAGAGCACGTAGTCAAGGGAGGACTCCAAGAAGAGGGTTGCAGAGTTCTTCCAACGATTCGCCTGATTCCATGGCCAGGAATGAAGAATTTTGCCAAAGAGCCCAGCCACCTACTTTAGACCTTTAGCTCTCAAAGAAATTCGGTACACCACGCCAACAGAATCACGGGTGTGAAGTAGTGCGTGCGCTTTGCAAAACATAGCGCGTGGTGACCTCCAGTCGGGCACCCACTTTTTCAAAGGTTGATTTGATTCTGAGACCGCCGCAGGGTACCCTTTTGAGTCAAGCCGCGAAAACGAGGCATCCAGCTGTTTGCGCATTACGAATTACGAATAGTTATACTAGGTTCAGATGAGATAAGACGATAGGACTAGTGTCCCAAAATGAGTTGGGACTTTTGGGCCACTAGTCCTATCTCACATGTGCAAAATGCTGGTGTCTTCCATTGACAGACTGCAATGGGATAGGAGTTGCGGGTTGTGGACATCTATGTTTTGTGTTTTCTTGGGAGGGTGAGGTGCCCTGGCAAGATAATTTCTATATCGCAAGTATCATAAACAAAGCAAATCATCAAACCTACAGCAGCTAGAAAGTTGTGCACTCTGCTGGATCACCTGGAGTGATCTCTAGTGATTCTCGCTTTGCATGTCTTTCTTGATTTCCCTCATGAGATGGGATTTGTGGAAGCTCTAGAAACATGGTTGTACGCTGATGAGATAGGACTGGTGGTTGATGACATACATTTTACAAGTCCCATCTCATTTGGACATAGTATATTTGATTTGGATCCATCGAGATTTGCACGCTGCGCTAGGACAGCAAGACGCGGCTGTCAGGCGCGATACGCCAGATTTGATTCTCTTCTCGTGCATGAACGCCTAGTTAGACTTGAAGTCTCAGTGGAACAAGTCCTTTCTTTGTCATCAGAACCTGTCTCCAGAAAGGACCACTACCCTTTGAACATGAAGGGAAATGGTGTAAAAGCATCAACTGCATGCCATGCGCAAATTGTACGCAAACGAATTATCTCCAAAGCGATTAGAGGTCCAATACCAGCTGTACCGCATCCGCATGCTGGAATGGCGCCTTAGCGGGATGTGCAAGGGAGAGGACTGTGACTGGGACAGGAGCGGGAGAGCAGTGCAGAGAAGGTGGGGTGATGAAAATCCTGCGTGAACGGGTGGTTTGTTAACACTTTTTCTTGTTGTTTCTGAGGGTTCTTCGACCGACGCAACCACAAAGGTTCTTCCCTGTCTCTGAAAAGAGAAGAGAAGTAGGAAGCACGCCCTAAGAATCCTTGGACCCTACATAGCAGGGGCGTGGAGCCTGAAAACCCTTCCCATTGGTTCGGGCCCAGATTCTTAGTTCAGTTCCTTTGTTCAAACCATCTCCAACGGCAGGCTCTCACGAGCAGCGAAAGCTGCCTCACAGCCCAAGACAGGCCTTGGGTAGAACGATGCCCTCCCTGAAGTTATCACGGAAGCGGAATACGTGGTGGTTTTCCACTATTTAAGCTGGGATTCTTTCAAGGGAGATAACTCCGAATCAGCCACCAGCGGTCCGAATCAGTCATCACGAATCAGCGACCAGGAATCAGCGACCAAATTTCGCGAATCAGCGACCAGTTTTTTCGAATCAGCGACCACGGAATCAGCGACCAGCGATCCGAATCAGCGACCAGCAGTCCGAATCAGCGACCACGAACCAGCGACCAGGAATCAGCGACCAGCTTTTCCGAATCAGCGACCACGGAATCAGCGACCAGCGATCCGAATCAGCGACCGGCGGTGCGAATCAGCGACCGCGAATCAGTGGCCAGAGTTCGCAAATGCGCTGCGCCTATCACGAAATCTGCCCTTCGAGGTTCACCAACGCCACGAAATCTGCGCGTGGAGGTTCACAAAGTGCTGCGCCTGCCACGAAATGTCCACTTCGAGGTTCATAACTTTCAAAGCGCTGCGCCTGTCACGAAATCTGCGCCTGGAGGTTCACAAAGTGCTGCGCCTGCCACGA